CATTTTTCTGATATCGTAGTATCAATGGAACTTTATTTTAAAAAATATTGAGAAGAATTGCCTATGTTGTTCTCGTCAACGTATGTATGGACATTGTGTTTAATTTAGAGGCTAAAAAACTTGTTATAAACTAAATTTCAAACTCATTAGATTTTGGATCTTTGATTATATATGGTAATATCGAAATATTTTTTTATGTAAGATGTATGCCTACCGGTAGGAATTTTCGGCAACTCTAGGAGCCAAGGCCTAGTGCTATTGTGTTTTCACAAGAATTCAAAGATAGCGAGTTAAATTTATAAATTTTAGTTAGTTCTTATAGAGTTAACCAATATTCTAGTACTTCTTCATTTTTGCCCTAGGTATGGTGAACATAGATACAAATAAAATACCATTTGAATTACTAGGTAATTTGCTCACGACATGCTTAGTATTTTAGAGTCGAACAAAGAAAACGTATACATTCTTAAGTTCCAAAGAACGAATTAAAGGTAGTATCTAATTGTTTTCCTTATATCACTTGATCTACTAAACTTCCAGAAAGTACTACTACATTAGAGTTTGCTTCAGTACATGTGGCATGGTTCTGTTTGATAATAGATCAAGAATTAAAAACGATATACTAGAGAGCTTAAATGTATTTAAAGGACTGGGAAGACCAATTGTTCATAATTTAAGATAAAGTGGACAAATCATTGATAGATGATCTACAAGATTTAAATTCATTAAAATTTGTAAGTATTGCACACGATAATTTTCTTTAATGTTCCTAACTTTTTAGAAAAAAAATTATATATGTAATAACTTGTTCGTGTACAATCTTAACTACATATACATTAAAAATAGTCAATCCCAAGCTCAAAAGAATAAGAAGGATTTCAGTTTTTTAAATAGAATAAAATAATAATAACATGAGCTGATCAAGCCCCTGCTCTCTTGTCACATAGGCCCACAAGCCTATGGGCCAAATCAAGCAACAATTTTTGGCACGAGTTAAGCTGAACTTGAGATCATATGGGTTGAGGTAACTCAGCCTGGCCCATTTTCGTCCCTACATAAACACATAATTTTTTTTGAGGAAATTAGGCCCACTACTTTGAAAAATGAATAAATTAGATTACTGCACTTAAAACAAATTAAAATATCTAATAGCAGTAATTAATACGCCCTAAAATCGTTCCAAAAGCTCCCGAAACCAATTGATCATAGAGAAAACCCTCAAACCTCCCCCAAAGCCCACGATTCACCCAGCAAAGAGGAAGCATTTCACTTACTCAAAGATGAAGGCGATTTATCCACCCATCAAAGGCTCCACCCACGTGACACCGTTGATTATAGACTCGAATCATGGTTGAAGAAAGTGAATCGATGGGGATGAAGAGAAAATCAAGTTTTGTTGAAGGAAATTCAAAGAAAAAGAGAGAAAAAATTATTCACAAGTTTATAAACCTAAGGTTAGTTAATTTTCCATTGTTTTAAACTTGTTTACGGCTTATTTGAATTTTATTTTGAAATGCTTACTTTCTTCTGTAATGTATCTTGCATTTTGTGTAAAATCAAGTTGTGTTTTGAGTCTTTAGATTTTTGTTATATCCCCTAAATCCCAATACTAAAATGGCGATTTTCTCCAATAATTTCATATGCAAAATTGTAATTCAATAACGAGACCGAGTATTTTTTATTCGTTGTGTCAACAGAGAGAGTAGCTTAAACTGTTCAAATGGTTGCAATGCTTCAATTCCAATGAGTTACATTCCTAAAAAAATCTTCAAAATGCGAAGATTCCAATGCTACTTCTTTGCTGACGAAGAATTTGAAGCACAAAAAATAAAAAATAAAAAATTAAATCCCTTGAAGAAGGTTCAAATCTGAATATAAAGAGAGTTGAGCTTTCCTACTATTCGAAGCAGAGCTTTGTTTTGAATCCTAAAACTCTAGATTTTGACCTGGGGGCTGTTGGAAACATGGATTATGGTGTTAAACTTGAGGATAAAGAAGATATTGAGGGCAATTTAGGAGATTTGGACTGTGAATTGATGGAAGAACCTATGGAGGTCGTTGAGGAACTCAAAATTAGTCATGGAAAAGATCCTGGCAAAAAAATTATGGGGATTCAAGCTAGTAAAAGTAAACAAGAAGTGAAAAAGTTTGCAATTGAATTACTTGCAACTAAAGCATTTACATTTTTGGAGATGAAGAAGAAACTCTTAAGAAAGAGGTTTTTCACTTGATAATGTTGTTTCAGTGGTCATAGATTTCCAGAGTAGTGTGACTTTGTTTTTTTTGCACACTAATGGCAAATAATTTTACATGTGAGTTTGTTATGTGACATGTGAGTAACATGTTCATGTCACTTTTCGAGTGTAAGCCACTTTTTGATTATTGTATGTTACAAACATATTTTTAATTATTATCACATGTTTAATGGATATTGGGGAATTCTAAATTTGCTTTGGCATGATATACCTCAAAGTCGAACTATCGTAGCTATAAGCAGGATGCAAATACTATTGCAAACATATCGTGATGAAATGTTTGGTGGTGCGCAAAAAGTGAAAATTGCTTTACATCATGATGATTTCGTATCTTGCACGAATTTGATTATAGACTGACTTTTGTCAACGAGAAAATCACCATCATACTTTTTTTGTCACTTTTTTTGAATTTCGTCACTTTTTTAGTGTTTGTTACTTTTTTTACTATCACCTTTTTTGAAAATGTGTTACCTTTTTCATTTTTGTCACTTTTTTGAGCTTGTCAATTTTTTGAATTTTGTCACTTTTGAGTGTCACTCTTTTAATGTGTAACTTTTTTTATTTATGTCACTTTTTTGAATTTTTGTCACTTTTTTAGTATTTGTCACGATTTTTTTTTTTTTTTTCCCCCTTTTTTTTTTTTTTTTCACTTTTTCAGTCATTTTTTCTAATTTTTTTCCCCTTTTTTTTTTTTT